CCAGGCAGGTCTCGAACCCGCGGGCTCAGGCAATCCACTCACCTCAGCCTCCCAAAGGCGTGGGATTACAGGCTGAGCCACCAAGCCCGCCTTACTACCAGTAATTTAAAGGGAGTTTATATGATTAGCCAGATACTAATTGCCTGGGTTCCAAGGTTTCCATGGACACAGACCAACACGCTCTGTGACTGGCCTGGAATGTGCCTCCCCTCAATCCTTGTTGTTCTCACTTGCGGTGGAAACTTACATAGTTGCCGCACCTTCCTTCCTCCACCCTTGCAAATTCTTTTGAAAATGGTTTGCTGCCAGGCACAGTGGCTCATGTCTATAATCCCAGCACTTTGGGAGGCCGAGGTCAGAGGATTGCCTGAGCCTGCGGGTTCGAGACCAGCCCGGGCAATTTGGTGAGACCTCATCTCTACAATAAATCAAAAACTTGGCCGGGTGGGGTAGCATGCGCCTGTGGTTCCGGCGACTTGGAAGGCTGAGGTGGAAGGATTGTCTGAGCCCAGCAGCTTGAGGCTGCGGTGGCCATAGCGTGCCACTGCACTCCAGCCTGGGCTACAGAGTGAGACTCTGACTCAGGGAGGGGAGGAGAGGGGAGGGGAAGGGAGGGGAGGGAATTTGCAGTGTTTGCTGGGCCTTCCACTTATGCTGACCCCTAGAAGCACCACAAAGCAGTTCCTCCATTTCAGGGCTGTAGGCTTGTTATCTGGACCCTAAGAGGATGTTACTTCAAATAAGCATGGCAAGAAAAAAGTTTTCTCACAGCAAAGTCTGGCATTACTGATTTTCACATGCTAATATGAGTTATTCAGCTCCTCTGTCTTCACAAAGAAATAAGAAGACACAATTTAAAAGTTTAGCATTAACTACATTTTTATTTTAATTTATGTTATTTTATGAGCCAGAGTCTCACTCTGTCACCCAGGCTGGAGTGCATTGGCACACAGCTACCCCAGCCTCGACCTGCAGGGCCCAGGCGATCCTTTCCCCCCCGCAGTCACCACGCCCGACCAATTTTTTGACTTATTGTAGAGACAAAGTCTTGCCAGGTTGTCCAGGCTGGTCTCGAGCCCCCGGGCTCAGGAAGTCCTCTTACCTCCGCCTCCCAATGCGCTGGGATTACAGGCGTGAGCCACAGTACCCGGCCTAAATTTTTATTTTTTATTACTAATTAATTAAGTATTTAACTGGTGGACTGAGGTCATAAACATTAACCAAGTTTTATTTTTTCTTTTCTTTTCTTTTCTTTTCGAGTCTGAGTCTGTCACCCAGACTGGAGGGCAGTGGCACCATCACAGCTCACTGCAGCCCTTGCAGGCCCAGGCCTTCCTCCCACCTCAGTTTCGCGAATAGTTGGGGCTACAGGCATGCACTGCCATGCCCGGCTTTTTGCTTTTTTGTAGAGACAAGGTCTCGTTGGGTTAAGCAGGCTGATATGGAACTCCTGGCCTCCAGCGATCCTCCCACCTCGGCTTTCCAAAGTGCTGGCATGATTGATAGACCCGAGCCACCACCCCCAGCCTTAAGCACATTTTAAAAGTTCCTTCCCAGCTGGGAGTGGTGGCATGTGTCTGTAGTCCCAGCTACTCAAGAGGCTGAGGCAGGAGGATCACTCAAGCCCAGGAGTTTGAGACCCAGCCTCAGCAATATCACGAGATCCTCATTTCTTTATTTTAAAAATAATAACTTAAAAATAAATTTAAAATACCTTTCAAATTAAAAGAGTTTCTTATTTTCTCCTATTTCTGTATTTTAAGAAGAAAAGGCCGGGCTCGGTGGCTCAGCCTGTAATCCTGCGCCTTTGGGAGGCTGAGGTGAGTGGATTGCCTGAGCCCGCGGGTTCGAGACCCGCCTGGGCAGCGAGACCTCATCTCTGCAATAAATCAAAAAATTAGCCGGGCATGGGAGCGCATGCCTGTAATTCCGGCTACTCAGAAAGCTGAGGCGGAAGGATCGCCGGAGCCCAGCAGGTCGAGGCTGTGGTTTCCGGGAGCGGCCACTGCACTCCAGTCTGGGCGACAGAGTGAGACTCCGACTCAAAAAAAAGAAGAAGAAAAGGACATTTGATTTCAAAATGTTATTGTGTATTAATCATTTTAGTTCGTGTTTTTATTTTCTAATAAGTGCTATGAAAAGATTGACAGGGCCGGGCACAATGGCTCATGTCTGTAATCCCAGCACTTTGAGAGGCCAAGACTGGAAGATTGCTCAATACTAGCCTAGACAACACAGCAAGACTTTGTCTCTATTTAAATTATTTTTATCTTTCTTTTTTTTTTGAGTTGGAGTCTTACTCTGTTGGCCAGGCTGGAGTGCAGTGGCACGCTTATGGCCACCGCAACCTCCACCTGCTGGGCTCAGGTGATCCTTCCGCCTAAGCCTTCCAAGTAGCTGAAACTACAGGCACACGCCTCCATGCCTGGCTAATTTTGGTGATTTATTGTAGAGATGAGGTCTCATCTAATTGCCTAGGCTGGTCTCAAACCCCCGGGCTCAGGCAGTTCTCTCGCCTTGGCCTCCCAAAGTGCTGGGATTATAGGCTGAGCCACCGTGCCCAGCCTAACTTTTTAATTTAAAAAAAAAAGATTAACAGGTAGCAGTGTGTGCCTGTAATCCCAGCAACTCGGGAGGCGGGAAGGACTGAGTTGGGAGGGTTGCCCGAGTCCAGGAGTTTGAGGCTAGCCTCGGCAACATAACGAGACCCCCATCTCTAAAAATAATAGCAATAAAAATAATGAAAGGTCAACAGAATCCTTTGGGATTTTGACAGTTGTAATCTGTACTTTTTTTTTCTTTTTGAGTTGGAGTCTCACTGCGTTGCATAGGCTGGAGTGCAGTGGCATGCTCACGGCCACTCTAGCGTCAACCTACTGGGCTCTGGTGATCCTTCCGCCTCAGCCTTCCAAGTAGGCAGAACTACAGGCACGTGCTACCATGCCTGGCTAATTTTTAACTGTTGTAGAAACGAGGTCTCACCAACTTGCCTGGGCTGGTCTCAAACCCAAGGGCTCAGGCATTCC